AGTGGGACTGTTTACAGGGGAAGAAAGTGTGGCTGTTCCAGTTACAGGGGATGGTGGTCAGGTCACGGAGAGGAGAGGAGAGGAGAGGAGAGGAGAGGAGAGGAGAGGAGAGGAGAGGAGAGTTCCTCTCAAACACAGGTAGGAATTGGACTTAGATTTTGTGAGGCATGCACTGACTTCTTGGGGAACACTAATACAATCTCTTTCTCTGTGGGATTTACACATCAGTTTCTGTCATTATTTTGACAAGCATTTACATAAAAATACATTTTTAGCATTAAACATTAACATTAAACATTAACATTAAACATTAGTTTGTACCAAATGAAACTGAGTTTGGGGACTTAATTTCATTTGGAAATATGAAAAAATCATATTCAGCTCCTGGGTACTGAGATTTTCTTTCCTGTCCAAGTATTCAGTCAATTATTAGCCCAAAACTAACTTAGAAAGTCTTTCCAAATAATATTTTGTTTACCAGTATGGGCTCCACAAATTCTACGGCTTCTATCTTAGTCTAATCAGAGTTCAGGTAGGTAATTGCTTTCTGCTTTAAAAACTGTGAATTTTACCTTGTTGCCATAGAGTGAAGGGCTCCTGTGAAAGACACAGTAACTTGGGAATTCACAGCCTGGAAAAACTTAATTTCCATCAACTGGAAAACATTCAGTTCGTCTACTGAAGAAATATGCAAAAGCAAGGTTACTCTGATGCCCTCTTGCTGTTTTAGGTAGTGATCATAATATCTACTTCCATCTATTCCCATGGATACTGAGGGGTTTATAGGAATTATTTTTAACAGTAACTCTGTCTTGCAACAATTCAGTAAGCTGTTATCTAACTGATAGCCAATCCGACATTGGACACATAGTTCAGGTCTGTTCAGTTTCACAGTTCTATACTTTTCTGGATTTAAAAGTCAAAAAAAGAGACTTTTTTATCCCAGAATCAAGTGTTTGAGTTTCCTGGTTGGTTTTTGTTCTTTTTTTTTTTTTTTTTTACAAAATTTAATAATTCATTTTTAACAAACAACACAGGTTTTCTACTTTGAGTTGTGTTTTGTACACCTGTGCTTCTAATAACTATTGAGTTCGCATTTACATTTTGATGGTGTTTAGGCCAGCTTCATCCCTTCTAGCGATATGCATGACTTTAATATGGCCCATGCTTTAACAAATAGATAAATATTTTGAGGGTAATTCAAACACCAAACTAAACCAAAACAGACAAACTGGGATTAGGAGTGGAATGGACTGCTAAACTATCCAAATTTGAATGGCAGATTTAACCTTTGATTCTCATATTAATACAAAGTATCTGAAGAATTCTGAAATGGAGTCGAATTGTCAAAATAAACTTTGAACACAGCGAGGATGCAGTATAATCAAAAATCCTGTTCAAAAAACTTTGTGTTTGGATCTGGCCTCTGATCATTTTTTTATAGCTATAACCTTTTGGGTATAAGTCTTGCATTAGAGTTTGGCTTGGAGCATATGTTGGAGTCTTCTTCTACATTACAGAAAATGTAGAAGTGATACTACAACTATAAATTCATAAATTAACAATCCAGGGCAGGTCAGAGACATAGTAGTGCTTTGGAAGATACACTGAGCTTAGAATCCACTTAGTTTAATTAGATGTGTTTGAATTTCACTTACATTTAAAGCAGATGATAATTGAATAATGGTACTTAAGAAAAGACTCCGGGGTTAGTAATACCAGAAAAGTATTAAGGAGTTCGTAGAAGCACTCCTTCACCTGGGTAAAAGCTGCAACCATGAGAGGGTGATAACCAAGAGACAGGCCAACAAGCATTTTAGGTGTATTTAGGGTGGTGTCAAGGCAGAGAGAAGTGTCGGCAGAGTTTAAGAGCCTAAGAACCAGAAGCTTTGAAAACTTAGCTGGAAAGCTGAATACAGAGATGTTGTGCTGGATAGACAGTATAATAATCATGATCTATTGGTTGCACTTAAAACTCAGGCTCCATAAAAAACTGTTCCTCTCATTCCCTTTCAAGAATCTATATACCTAGCATCACGTATCTGCATCTGTACCTATTTAGAGCAAAGAATTCCTTACTATTTGACATTGTGCAGAATAATTATTATCAGTGCACCGCAGTACATCTGGAAATATGAGGGACTGCTGGCTCAGCATACCTCAGGCAAAGTACTGCACCTCTTAAAGAATGATAGCATACGTAAAACAGGAGCCCAAGAGCCTGATTAGTCTTTCATACACACTGAAAGCCAGGCATAATTTTTTGAAGTGGAAGGAGCTACAGCAGTATAGCTCTCCAACTGTAGAAGAGGTAACAATAGAAATTTCAATAAATACTTACCAATCCTTGCAAATTGTCTGATTCCTTATTCAAAGATGCTACACATCCGCCAGAAAATGTTATGTGGTAGAGTCAGGCATTCTTTGTTCCTTTCCTGCAAGGATTAAAAAGAAACTTGACTATAATCTCAAGAATGAGCCCAAAGACCAGGCTTCGATTCTGGAATGACTTTTCTGCTCTTAAAGTACCCTTTCAATAAGTGAGTTGAAGCATTTAAACATAAAGACTCTTTCAAAACAGTTGCCTGTGCTCAACTGTCCACCTCCAAACTGAAGTTAAGTTTAATTTAGGAGCACTGAAATTAAATGACAATATTACTGATTCAGTCTGGCCTTTATTTTGTTCAGTGGATATGGGAAATTTCCTCAGAGACTGTTAAAACCAAAATAGTCTGAGGCTCTTGAAAAGATTAAAACAAGTAACTCCTGGAACACAAAAAGGATAAACTGCTGCTTGATTCTGGCCCTGCACTTTTGATTCCTAAAGTACTAAGGGACTGTTGTTGAGTTAGAACTGCATAGAAGTTTCATGCAATTCTTTCCATATAACACTAAAAACACTGAAGCATTTTCATACCAAGTATATACCTAATTTCAGCCTATAATGCTGTTTCTCTAATGTTTTTCCAGCGTTCAGGTTACTTTTGTGATACATTTTGTAAACAAAACTGCTACTTTCTGGAAGTCTCTGGACTTGGCTCCTCAAATTTCCATATAGGTTCCATCCACTTTTTATAACTTTTGGCCTTAATACTTTAGCATTTTAATGACCTGTAGTATTTTGCCCATAGCAAGAAGCACTTATCTAGTGTTCAGACATGTTGCTCTGCAATACCATGCTGAGACTGATACTGACAATGACATTTCTGTACATATTAAGTAATGATGATTCTGCGAAAATCATTACCCAGAAACATAATAGATCCCAGATGTGTTTAAAAAACATAATATTAGGCTAAACTCCAAATTCTGGCCCGGAACACATGTGTGCATCTCCCAGGGCAGTAATTCAGCATTTAGAAAAAGTAAACATACCATTGTAATGCACATGGCAGATAGCTGAGTTCCAGTCACCAGTGAATTAATCTGGCCCCAATTTTGCATTCCATGACCTCTGTACTCTGATGGGAAGGAGGCCATAGGGACCAACTGTAATTCCCCTAGTCAGAACTACCCAGCCCTGATACAATTTATTGTTGCATAGGAACAGTCCTAATTTACATCAGTGGTGCAACACCTTCCTTCTTGCCAAGGACTCTCTGCTCCAAAGACTGAATAAGGACAAAGGAGGGCATAGCATAAACAACAAGAGGAATCCAGCAAGTCTTTTTGTATCATCAATATGATGTTGTACCTGGCAGAGAATGGCTGTATCAAGATGTTCCTTCTCAAATACCTCGGCTCTCTCAACTTGATCTAATCTGCCTGTCAAAGAAAGGGTATTTTCCCTGTTCTGGATTTTCATCTTTGAGGAAGGAAGTCCTTCAGATGTAGACTTCCCCATTTTATCATTCAGATGTAGCTGTTGAGCTGCTCAGTTAAGTTAGGGCCTCCTATTCAAGTCAAGAAAACAAGTGCAGGAATGATTACATCTGATGGTAATTTCCTTGTATTCTCCCATCTTTTGTTGCACAGGCTATCACATCATTTGCACATTTTGTAAAGAGTTCATTCCTCATTGTCCCCTTCCCATACAGTTTATGGTATTTTGGAAGCAGCTAGTGAATTTTCTGATCAGTAAAAGTAGGAAAACAGTATTTTAGTTGGCTGAACTAAAATCGTTCCCAACACTTTTCTTCCTAAGAGCATTTGCAGTAAAT